TGAAATCAAAATAAAGAAATTTTTCCAAAAATTACACATTTTCAATTTCATTCAGAATTTCAGCCGCTTAACGTAGGCTTACTCACGCGAATAAGCGCCCCGTTTGATTAAGCGCTTTATCCTAACGAGATTTTATTTAATTTGTTTTATTTTATTTATTTTTTTGTATTTTTGAATAAGTGCCACTCCTAATTTGAATAAGCGTCCCTCAGCAATATCATGTGATTTCTTTTTTTTTTTATCAAGCTAATGCAATCAATCATGGGACGTGGTTGACATGATTTGACCTGCGGATTGAATTCACTATTTTTCTTGTCACTGAATTTTAAAATTAGTATATTTCTGCTTGACAGATTAGAGCAACCTATGGACAGATATATATCTTTCCAATTTTCTTCTTCTTCTTCTTACATTTACCTATTACTTCTCTATTCATCGACAATTTGCACAGCACGTTCAATCATCTTAGTTTATTACAAACCATGCAATGATGCCGCTAATCTTAATCGGCAGAGCAGCAAAAATTACCACAAGCCACCACTAATAATCTGCACTTGCGATTAGCCATGCTCTCAGGACGGTTATCTTTTCTGCACCAGATTATTCGTTTATCTTCGGTTTCAGATATCCTTATAATATTTTTTTTTATCCAATAAAGCGCCCTTTTAATTTTCCAAGTTCCCATAAGAATCCCCTAAATTTTCAATTATTTCCATAAGCGCCCCCTCAATTTCCACTCTGTTAAGCGCGCCTCAAAAATATTTTAAGCACCCGGACGCTTATTCACGCAAGTACAGTATGTAAAAGAACTTTGAAATGAGAATTTGAATGACAAAAATTGTTCCCACTAATGAATATTATAGTTACTTCAAAAAATCGTAAAATACATTACAGTAAAGATGCCGAATCCTACGGACACAGGCCTGAAGCCAGGGAGCAATTGCTTAGGCATAAGAGTTTCATAGGGTAAGTAGGGCCTACAACAGTCGCCAACGAATCAACAAAAACTGAATTCAACCAATCCATCCTTCATTGGAATTATAAATTTCAATTGAACATTTTTTTTTTTAGTTTAATTGTCAGATTTTTTTTTTTTTTTTTTGTCACTATCTTTAGACTTAATTTAATCCTTTATTCGAAAGATGCACAGATTATAGGCCTAAATCTCAGATAAGATAGGGCCTAGTAGGGCTTACATACTCCAAGTATCCGTCGGGATTCAATATTTTGATGATGACATAATTTGTCGAAATATTGAATCAACCCAAAGGGTAGGCTACTTGCTGAGTGATGATTCCTGATGATCTTAATATCGAAATATTGAATACCGACACGCGATGGCGTACGTTTCGATAGGCCCTACTCCTGATCAGTGACATAATTAATGTCGAAATATTGAATCAACCCAAAAAGAGTACTTGTAATCGATGATTCCTGATGATGACATAATTAACGTCGAAATATTGAATCCCGACACAATGGCGTGCTTTTCGATACTTGGAGTATGTAGGCCGGCCTACATTATCCTACTATCTTTTTGTATTTACTTTCTTGATCAATGTTGTTATTCGCACGTCGTCGTGTAAGTATCTCATGAGGTAGGCGGACATTTCGAGTTTATGAAAACAGAGACGCGTTTCATTCACAATCATCGCGTTTTCAATATTGATTGGTAGCAGTGGTCCTGTCTCTCGCAACTTGCGGGAGTCTCCCGGAAATCAGGATCCTTGTTTATTTTTGCATTATAAATCGATCTCTTAATATAGATTTTTTTTTTTTTTTTCATTTTCAAACGAACATTACGTTCTTCTTTTGGGGCGAAGTCCTTTTGGAAGCTACGGGAAACTTCGTCAAATTTGACGAAGTTTTGTAAATGTTATTAGTTATTTTATAGGCATCAAGCTACTTCATAATTGTTGTAATTTCCGAACAAAGTTGAAGTCGAGATTGCTTCCACGAGCACAATGAATAATTTATCATGAAGGGTATCTTTGGTAATTGACATGGGTATTCCCCGACGAAACCTTCACATTTCCTTAATGAATAAGAACTAGCCTACGGTTCGGGTTGAGGTGGGTTAGATAAAAAAATATGATTATGGCACCGCTACAAGATGGCCGGAAAGGGCAATCTTAGATCTAAATTTGAATACAATTTTGTCTGTTTTTTTTTCCCCATTTTTTTTATATTTTATTTTTTTTTTCATTTTCATATAAATAGGAGGTTGCGGGCCGGGCCGACTGGGCTCCCCCTTAAATCCGCCAATTTTCAATATACTATTGTACTAAACAGCAAATGAAATCAAAATAAATAAATTGGCACTTTTTCAAATTCATTCAGAAAACACGAAAGTATGAAAATTAATCATTTTCAGTAAGCCTATGAATATTAGGCCTACTGGTTGTTGTGAAATCATTGTTTTAATTCACTTAAATTAGCCTATTTTCAATTGTGATTTTGATTCTTTTATTCTTATTCTTTAGTCGCCAAAAAAAAAAAAAAAAAAAATCAAAAAAAAAAAAAAAATACTAAGTACAATACAATGGTGGAATATATACAAATACGAATTGAATAAGTGGCCAGGGACACAAAGGCGAATCAGTATAACGCCTACTATGCACACATTGTATATACATGGAAGAGGCTTGTAAATGCTTATTACCATCTACAATTTATGTGACTATTCAAGGCTCACTGTCAGATTAAGCTAAAAAAGAACTTTCATTCAATATTTGAGCAATTTAATCTTGGTACACCTACTGTACTCGTGCGAATAAGCACTCCGTTCGATTAAGCGCCCCCTTGAAAAAGCGCCAATATCATGTGATTTCTTTTTCAGCCAATAATCTAATCAATCTTGGGACTGTGGTTGGCATGATTTGACTTGCGGATTGAATTCACATTTTTTCTTATGTCAATTTAGAAATTAAGATATTTCTGCATGACAGAGGAGAGCAACCTGGACAGACATATCTTTCCTCTTCTTCTTACATCTAGTTTCTTCTCTTTTCCTCAATTTGCACCTTTAGCACGTTCAATCACCTGAGTTTACAAACCATGCAATAATGCTGCTAATCTAAGTCGGCAGATGGCCACCAAACATTCACCCATGGGTCACTACTAATTTAATCTGCTCCGTGTAATACCCACAGCATTGTCATGAACCATGCTCTCTTTACGATTATCTTTTCTCACCAGACCATTCGTTTATCTTCGGTTTTTGTCCTTATGTAATTTTTTTTTTATCCAAAAAAAGCGCCCTTTTTGTTTTCCAAGTTTATAAGCACCCCCTCAATTTTCATTTATTTCCATAAGCGCCCCCTCAATTTCCACTCTGTTTTCATAAGCGCGCTTCAAAAATATTTTAAGCACCCGGGCGCTTATTCACGCGAGTACGGTTATTTATTTATTTATTTATTTATTCTTTATAATAATAATAATAATTTTGGCTTATATAGCGCATTATGCTAAAGCCTCAATGCGCTTAACAGTAAAAATAAAATTCGGGGAAACAAATTAAGAAAAATACAAGCTAAAAAGGTGAGTTTTTAAAGCTGCCTTAAAATTTGTTACCTCTTCAGTAAAAAGTTACTGTTCAGCGAGAGGGCCCAGTACACAAAAAACATTAAAATCGCAAGAGAAACAACACAGAACATAAAAAAAAAACCAAACAAACACGAAAGAAGTAAAAAATTACCTACCCCCGCATTCCAAATTCGAGAACCCCTAAATGTAAAACTTTTAAATGAAAATTTTTGAATGACAAAATTGTTCCCACTAATGAATAGTTACTTTAAAAATCGTATAATACATTACAGTAAAGTAGGCCGGAATCCTACTGACACAGGCCTAGGCCAGGGATCATTGCTCGTAGGCTTTTCAATATAAAGGCTTGGCCCACAACTTTTGTGACTGCTCACCCAGCAAACGTGAATTGTTAACGAACGCTATACTATGTCAGTATTATTATTATAATTTGTTGATTATATATAATTAATTTGTTGGTGCTATTAAAATAAAAAAAATTGTTGTTTTTCATTACCTGTTCTCCTTTTGAGATGAGCAACTAGTGTTTATACCATATTTATTGATTGGAGCGTCACTTCATAAAAAGTGTGTACCTCTACCCTGTGCTTAAATACAGAATTGACGCAAAGCAGGCGATTACATTTTTTCTTCATGCTTGAGGGTAAGTTTCCAGGAATTTACAGACGAGCGTTTACAGACGTCAATCAACATCTGGTTG